AATGATACTCGTGAAGAGTGTGCTTCTTAGCTCAAGTAGATACATGAGACTAAATGGGCAGCTCCTGTCCGGAGGTTAGATGAGAAGGCAGACAGGGTCAGGAGCTGGTTGAATGGACACGGGAAATCTCGGGTGAAAAGGAGGAGAGTGCTGTCACAGTATAGGGAGAGCAATTAGGATCACATAACAATGTATGTATGAATTTTTGTATGAGAGAATAACTTGAATTGTAAACTTTCACTTAAAGTACAATAAAAAAAAATCTGTAAACTTTCAATGAGAAAGGAAGAAAATCAAGAGTTTCAGTAGACAAGTCTATGAAGTAGAAAAATTTATATTCTCTTTCTTGCCTAAAGATGGTTCCCACAGTATAGTTTCATCCATAACTAATTTTATTCTGGTAGATCCCAAGATTAAAAACATTTTCCTAAAGAGAATACCTTCTCTGTAAATATGAAATCGCCCTATTATGCTCTGGGCTTTTAATATCATTATCCAATTTCCCCAGACCAAGAGGCAGTCATACCAACAGAACAAGGCGATACTGCATGGCTTCAAGTCAGGAAAGATGTGCATCAGGGTTGTATCCTTTCACCATACTTATTCAGTCTGTACGCTGAGCAAATAATCTGAGAAGCTGGACTATACGAAGAAGAAAGCAGCATCAAGATTGGAGGACAACTCATTAACAACCTGCAATGTGCAGATGACACAACCTTGCTTGCCGAAAGTGAAGAGGACTTGAAGCACTTACTGATGATGATCAAAGACCACATTCTTCAGTATGGATTACACCGCAACATAAAGAAAACAAAAATCCTCATAACTGGACCAATAAGCAACATCACAATAAACGGAGAAAATATTGAAGTTGTAAAGGATTTCATTTTACTTGGATCCACAATCAACGCCCATGGAAGCAGCAGTCAAGAAATCAAAGGATGCATTGCATTGGGCAGATCTACTGCAAAAGACCTCTTTAAAGTGTTAAAAAGCAAAGATGTCACTTTAAGGACTAAGGTGTACCTGACTCAAGCCATGGTGTTTTCAATCACCTCATATGCATGTGAAAGCTGGACTATGAATAAGGAAGACCAGAGAAGAACTGATGACTTTGAATTAAGGTGTTGACAAAGAATACTGAATATACCATGGACTTCCAGAGGAAGGAACAAATCTGTCTTGGAAGAAGTACAGCCAGAATGCTCCTTAAAGCAAGGATGGTGAGACTTTGTCTCACATACTTCGGACATGTTATCAGGAGGGATCAGTCCCAGGAGAAAGACATCCTGCTTGGTAAAGTAGAGGGTTAGAGAAAAAAAGGAAGACCCTCAACGAGATGGAATGACACACTGGCTGCAACAATGGGCTCAAGCATAACAACGACTTCAAGGATGGCACAGGACCTGGCAGTATTTTGTTCCGTTATGCATAGGGTCGCTATGAGTCAGAACCTGCTACAGAGCACCTAACAACAACAACAAAGCTGTTAAAGAAAGGGTAATGGAGAAGAATGAAGCATTTGTCCTGCCCTTTCTATAGAATCTGTATTTCAGAGTAGCCAAATTGCTGATGAGGAAAATTTCACATATAGAGGAATTCTAGTTTATACATACAGAAAAAAAAGATTATATTAGAAAAATCACAATTCTGTAACCTTAATGACAAGATGGATCTCAAAGGACGCTAAAACTATTAGATGAAAGCCTGACGAGAAATTTTATCATGGAGGAATCGGGCTGATGATGGCCTGAAGCCAAATGATCAGTCCTACTATCACCCAACTTAAGACGTTTAGAAATTATGCACCACTTGATATGATGCAATAGTAAGGACACAGCACCAACTATGAAGGATTCTTGCAAAATAAATAGACAAATAAAATAAATCTAAATCTAATCAAACCTCTAGATCTAATTATTACAAAATACAAGTGATAAACAAGGTAAACACCACCTTTAGGAAGCAATCAGACAAATCCAGTCTAAAACCAAACCAAACCCGTTGCTGTCACGACGATTCCAACTCATAGCAACATTAGAGGACAGAGTAGAATTGCCCAATAATGTTTCTAAGGAGCGACCGGTGGATTCAAACTGCAGGCCTTTTGGTTAGGTGCCAGGCTGTTAACCACTGTGCCACCAGGGCTGAATCCATTCTAAAGGACCTGGTTTTTCTAACAATCTTACGGTGTTTAAAAAAAAAAAAAAAAAAGCAGCAGCAGCAAGGGATACTATTACAGAAAATAAGAAACTTATGAAATAAACAATCATATTCGAAGTTACCAACTGCAAAAAAGGCATTAATGGGGACAACCGGTAAAATCTGAATAACTATTTGATGTTACTAAGGAATCACTATTAACTTTGTTAGTTGTGATATCAGCATGACTACATTTAAAAACAAAAACCAAAGAAAAGCCTTCATCAGTTAGAGGTGGTCATACTAGAATATCTGCTAGTGAAATGGCATGCCTAGAATTTGTTTTTGAATATTTCAACAATTTTTTTTTCCAAGTGTCAGGGTGTACATGTAATAAGATTGGCAAAACGTTGAAAATCATTGAGGCTGGATATATGAGTCATTATTCTATTTTCTCTACTTATATGTAAGTTTTTAATTTTTATATTAAAAAGGTTAGGAGACAAAGAAAAATTATGAAACTAAAGTAAAAGAACATGGTGCCCCAAAGCTCAGAAGAGAGGTCAGGAATAAAGACTGAAATAGAACTCATCAGACGATAAGTAATAGATGATGCCAAGTCTTTGGAAAGTATCATCTAAGGAGAAAGCAGAAACTAAGTAAAATGAGATCAGAGAAGAGAAGCCAGTGGAATACCAATATTTAAAGACAGGGCAGAGAAAGAAATTGGAGAAGGATACCAAAAATTGAAATGTCAGTGAGGTGGGAGGAGACACAGGAGAAAAACTGAATCAGGAAAATCAAGGCAAGAAAATTTCCAAACAATAATCATCACTAAGTGTCCTTCTTATAGCCACAAAATTTGAAATCAAATGAGGAGAGGGGGAGAAGTATTATGGATTTTAAACAGAATAAATTCAGAATGATGAGAGAAATGATTATTTCTAAGGTACACAATCTCCCAGATACCAAACAAGATGTTCAATAAATATTAAGACATATACCTGCTAGCACCAAACTGCCACCTAGTTAATCTGCCAAGTGGAAGATACAATACCAAATACTAGAATCACTATAAAAATAAAACAAAACAAGGAGACAAGACTGACACTGGCCGTGAAGATTTCTCTAGAGGAGAGTCACTTAACTACATGCTCCAATATAAGGACCATGGTCCTTGTTCCTCCCTATATGCCCAGATTTTAACATGGTACCAGGCTCCATGTTCCTTACATTGCAAGAGTCCCAGTGAAACCAAGTTGCAGGAGGGTGGGCAAAGAAGGGAGTGGCAGGGAGATGATGATAACACCCAATATTGTTGGTCTTTTAAGTCATAGTTACAATGGTATCTGGAATCACTAGACCAATCTGGTGATTTCAGATACCTTTCTAGTTACCAGGATGAATAACAGAACTTTTCATTTCATATCTGGAGCTTGAAGAACTTACCTCCAAGTGTACAACTCTGCACTACTGTTATCACAAATAATTATATCTTATTATAGTTGATTCCTAGTACTTGGAAGAGTTTACTGTCATCCACAGCCTTAGAAATTTAACTTCCAAGTAATGTATTGACATACCAAATGCAATTCAAACTAAAGAAGCATATATGTTTTAAGGTACTATCTCTTTGATCCTCTATTAGTCACTCTCTTGATTTCTAATACATTGAGGTTAAAGACTTACTTTTGTTTGCAGGGCAAAATCCTACCTAACATGAATCTTTATCTTTACATGACAAACACTCCATATCATCTTCATCAACTACAGGTTTAAATGTCTTTTTTTCTGTTTTCCACAGACCAAAGACAGAAAATCAAATAATCCCCAGCCTCTCTGCAGCATATGTATTTTTTGGTATTTCTAGATATATTCTGAAATTCTAAAAAGTGCAGAAATGTCCCAACTAAAGATTTTTAAAATTCGTATTAGACCATTTAGCTTTTATTTAACTCAGGATTAAAGATCATAAGGAAGATAAATTCTAAAATATCTTAGAAGCAAGATATTAAAAGTTAAAAACTTACACTCAAGCTGTGCAACCACATCTCCAGGGTCTACTGCTTCAGGGAACACCTATAGTGGGAGGATGCAGGGGGAAGCAGGATGGAGAAGAGGAAGTGAAAGCAAGATAAATGTAAGATAATCTTCGTATTTCTTCTCTGTCATTCCCAAAATATCACTTCTTTCCCAACCAAAGAAACTTTTGACATTATTGAGAACTATTATCTCCTCTCTGCTTTCTATGATCAGTATGGAAGCCTTTACAAATGAATGAATGAACAAATGGATAAATGAATAAACTTTATTACTGGATCTAACTCCCTCTCCAACTTCATTTGCTACCACTTTTCCCCTTGTTACCATGGTCATACTAGCCTTCTTGATGTTCCTCAGACTTATTCCCAACAAGAAGTCCATTTGTTATTCCCATTGCTTAGAATGTTCTTCCCTCAAACTTCAAACGACTGATGATGTCTCACAATTGAGGCTCAGCTTAAACGTTATCACCTTCTCTGATCACCCCTTAAAATAGACAACTCTCCTAATCCTTCAGTCTTTCTCTATCCCCTTGTCCTCTTCATGACACGTATCACTATCTAAAATTATATTACTCATGTGTTTACTTAATTACTGTCTATTTCTTCTGCTAAAATGAAAGCTTCAAGAGGGCAAGGGGTTTGTCTTGTTTACCATGCATCCCCAGTGCCTAGAACAGTGCATTGTACAGAGCAGATATTGAGTAATTATTTTTGGAAGGGTGGGAGAAAGAGAGGAAGGGAGGAAAGCACACAATAAAAAAGTGAAAAAATATGATTTCTAATAATGAAGCAAAACAGCAATATTAGGGGTCAAAACAGATTTATAGAAAGAAGTACAAGAAAGCCATAAGTAATATATGTCTCATTCTTACTGATTAATGACTCATTTTTTTCATGAAAATTATTATTCAGGCGCTGTGTTTTATATAAAATTCACCAAGACAAATTTAGAAATAAACTGATCCATCAAGAAAAAAAGACATCAGATTCAATGCATAATATAATGCATATTTATTTTCAAGCTTCCAGGTTTAAGTGACAACTTTCATTCTGATTTAAACCAAAGTATACAGTCAACAATAATAATCTGTGCTCTGGGCTTTTATTAAAAATTTGGAACCATGTTTCTGTTTTTCTTAATACTTAATCTGACATTTGAACTCACCTTTTCAAACACCATTCTGGCATTGAAGACCAATGGAAAAGTAGGTGGGACACATTGTGTCTTTTTGTATTGGCCAAACACACAGATGCTAAGATAGATGTCCTCCTTGTCTTTCAGCACCACTCCTGGACAAGTTACCTGAAAAAATTAGATAGATGAATGTAACTGCTTTATAAATTCCCTGAGCAATACTACTAAAAATGACTTATCAAACATTAGGTAAAACACTAGTCTACTAACCTAATAAAAATACTTGAAAGAAAAAAACCCACAAGAGATTCCAGTGTTTACAGAGTTACACAAAATGCCTTTATAACTTCCATTCCTCTGAGAAATGTGTGATTTTCCATTTGGTTATTTGTGCCACACTCGAAGCTATAAGCACTGGCTCTTGGGACAGACACTAATAGTTGTTAAACAGTCAGCCTTAGGCTCCCACTTTATGCTGAGTGCTGACATACACTTATTCAGCATCATTTAATCACAGAGGATTAACCCTCAGCAGAAATAAAGCACTATACTAGAAGACAAAAAATACAGATAAAAAGAGGAAATATGACCTGTATCACCCTAAATAGCAGTCCATGAACACTCTCATATTTGTTAAAGCTAGTGAAATGAAATTTCTAGCCTAATGAAGTATTTTTTAAATTTAAAATTGCGCTTAACTACTCATTAATATAAGCAGCCCTGGTGGAGCAGTGGTTAAGCACTTGGATGCTAACAAAAAAGGCGGCAGTTCAAACTCACCAGCCACTCCCTGGGAGAAATATGTGGTAGTTTGTTTCTGTAAAAATTACCCACTGCAGTCAAGTCAATTCGACTCAAAGGGACCCTACAGGACAGAGTAGAACTGCCCCATAGGATTTCCAAGGCTATAAACTTTACAGAAGCACACTGCTACATCTTTCTCCTGTGCAGTGGCTGGTGGGTTCGAACTGCCAACTTTTCAGCAAGCACTTAACCAATGCCACCAGGGCTCCTTTCCATAAAGATGATAGCCTTGAAAACCTATGGCGCAACTCTATTCTGTCCTATAGGGTCTCTATGAGTTGGAACCAACTCGATGGCACGCAACAACAACATCTATCAATATGACTGACAAAATACAGGTATAAAATTTGGGGCTTCTAAAACATACGTAACAATCTCTCCAGTCCCAGCCATATTTCACTGCCAATGATCAAGCATACACTTAACAGGGTATAAAAGGCTCTCTAAGATTTAGGACCCCCACGCATCTGTCAGTTTGTCGTACTGTGGAGGCTTGCATGTTGCTGTGATGCTGGAAGCTATGTCACTGGTATTCAAATACCAGAAGGGTCACTCATGGTAGACAGGTTTCAGCTGAACTTCCAGAGTAACACAGACTAGGAAGAAGGACCCGGCAGTCTACTTCTGAAAAGAATTAGCCAGTGAAAACCTTATGAATAGCAGCAGAACACTGTCTGATATAGTGCCGGAAGATGAGCCCCTAAGGTTGGAAGGCACTCAAAATATACCTGGGGAAGAGCTGTCTCCTCAAAGTAGAGTCAGCCTTAATGACGTGGATGGATGGAATCAAGCTTTTGGGACTTCATTTGCTGATGTGCCATGACTCAAAATGAGAAGAAACAGCTGCAAACATCCATTAATAATTGGAACGTGGAATGTATGAAGTATGAATCTAGGAAAACTGGAAGTCATCAAAAATGAAATGGAACACATAAACATTGATATCCTAGGCATTAGTAAGCTGAAATGGACTGGTATTGGCCATTTTGAATCGGACAATCATATGGTCTACTATGTCGGGAATGACAACTTGAAGAGGAATGGCGTTGCATTCATCGTCAAAAAGAACATTTCGAGATCTATGCTGAAGTACAATGCTGTCAGTGATAGGATAATATGCATTCTCCTACAAGAAAAACCAGTTAATACGCCTATTATTCAAATTTATGCACCAACTACTAAGGCCAAAGATGAAGAAATTGAAGATTTTTACCAACTTCTGCCGTCTGAAATTGATCAAACATGCAATCCGGATGCATTGATAATTACTGGTGATTGGAATGCGAAAGTTGAAACAAAGAAGAAGGATCAGTAGTTGGAAAATATGGCCTTGATGATAGAAATGTCAGAGACTGCATGACAGCATTTTGCAAGACAAACGACTTCTTCATGGCAAATACCTTTTTTCACCAACATAAACATTGACTATACACATGGACCTCGCCAGATGGAATACACAGGAATCAAACTGACTACATCTGTGGAAAGAAATGATGAAAAAGTTCAATATCATCAGTCAGAACAAGGCCAGGGGCCGACTGCGGAACAGACCATCAACTGCTCTATGCAAGATCAAGCTGAAACTGAAAAAAATTAGAACAAGTCCAAGAGAGCCAAAGTATGACCTTGAATATATCCCACCTGAATTTAGAGACCATCTCAAGAATAGATTTGATGCACTGAACACTAATGACCAAAGACCAGAGGAGCTGTGGAATGACATCAAGGACATCATACATGAAGAAAACAAGAAGTCATTAAAAAGACAGGAAAGAAAGTAAAGAGCAAAATGGATGTCAGAAGAGACTCTGAAACTTGCTCTTGAACGTCGAGTAGCTAAAGCAAAAAGAAGAAACGATGAAGTAAAAGAACTGAAAAGAAGATTTCAAAGGGTGGCTTGAGAAAACAAAGTAAAGTATTACAATGACATGTGCAAAGACCTGGAGATAGAAAATCAAAAGGGAAGAATACGCTCAGCATTTCTCAAGCTGAAAGAACTGAAAAAAAAAATTCAAGCCTTGAGTTGCAATATTGAAGGATTCTATGGGGAAAACATTAAACGACGCAGGAAGCATCAAAAGAAGATGGAAGGAATACACAGAGTCACTATACCAAAAAGAATTGGTCAACATTCAACCATTTCAAGAAGTAGCATACGATCAGGAACAGATGGTACTTAAGGAAGAAGTTCAAGCTGCAGTGAAGGCATAGATGAAAAACAAGGCTCCAGGAATTGACAGAATACAAACTGAGATGTTTCAACAAATACATGCAGCACTAGAAGTGCTCACTCGTCTATGCTAAGAAATTTGGGAGACAGCCACCCGGCCAACCAGCTGGAAGAGATTCATATTCATGCCTATTCCCAAGAAAGGTGATCCAACCGAAAGTGAAAATTATCAAACAATATCATTGATATCACAGGCAAGTAAAGTTTTGCTGAAGATCATTCAAAAGCAGCTGCAGCAGTACATCAACAGGGTACTGTCAGAAATTCAGGCTGGGTTCAGAAGAGGGCATGGAATGAGGGATATCATTGCTGAAGTCAGATGGATCCTGGCTGAATGCAGAGAATACCAGAAAGATGTTTACCTATGTTTTACTGACTATGCCAAGGCATTCAACTGTGTGGATTATGGCAAATTATGGATAACACTGCAAAGAACGGGAACTCCAGAACACTTAACTGTGCTCTTGAAGAACCTGTGCACGTACCAAGAGGCAGTCGTTCGAACAGAACAAGGAGATACTGTGTGGTTTAAAGTCAAGAAAGGTGTGGGTCAGGGTTGTAGCCTTTCACCATATCTATTCAACCTGTATGCTGAGCAAATAATCCGAGAAGCTGGACTATATGAAGAAGAAAGGGGCATCAAGATTGGAGGAAAACTCATTAACAACCTGCGTTATGCAGATGACACAACCTTGCTTGCTGAAAGTGAAGAGGACTTGAAGCACTTACTGACGAAGATCAAAGACCACAAGCTTAGTATGGATTGCACCTCAACATAAAGAAAAACAAAAATCCTCACAACTAGACCAATAAACAACATCATGATAAACAGAGAAAAGACTGAAGTTTTCAAGGATTTCATTTTACTCAGATCCACAATCAACACTCATAGAAGCAGCAGTCAGGAAATCAAAAGACGCAAGGCACTGGGCAAATCTGCTGCAAAAGACCTCTTTAAAATGTTGAAAAGCAAAGATGTCACCTTGAAGACTAAGGTGCGCCTGACCCAAGCCATGGTGTTTTCAATCACCTCATATGCTTGTGAAAGCTGGATGGTGAATAAGGAAGACCAAAGAAGAATTAATGTCTTTGAATTGTGGTGCTGGCGAAAATATTACATATACCATGGACTGTCAAACGAATGAACAAATCTGTCTCAGAAGAAGTGTGATCAGAATGCTCTTTGGAAGCAAGGATGGCGAGACTGCGTCTCACGTACTTTGGACATGTTGTTAGGAGGGATCGATACCTAGAGAGGGACATTATGCTTGGTAGAGTGACAGGTCAGTGAAAAAGAGGAAGATCCTCAATGAGATGGACTGATACAGTGGCTGCAACAATGGGCTTAAGCATAACGACGACTGTGAGGATGGCGCAGGACCGGGCGGTGTTTCGTTCTGTGGTACATGGGGTCACTATGAGTTGGAATCGACTCGACGGCACCTAACAACAACAACAATAAGATTTAGGACCAATATACCCACACAGTAATATCACTCAACACCTCCTAACGATACAGCCAAAGAGTATGTTTTATTGTTCTCTGAACATGCATATTACTTTCTTGCCTCATAGTTTCCATTACCTGGAATCCTACTCCACTCCATCTCCTTATCATTTACCTTCCCCTACCACCTGCCAGGGCCTACATCTCCTACACAAAACCTCTCATGATTCACCAGCTAGCACTATTCAACTCAATCTAATGCAAACATTTAGTATGAACTTACCATATGCAAGTAAATATGTTCTAAATTCTCACAGCCATTTTGTAGTTCTCCTAAGGTCCTAATTATTATCTATATGCATTTCAATTAAGTGGGTACATTTGATTATAAATTCCCTGAAAAAAGAAGTTTCATTTTCCTCATCATTATATCTAAGCACAAAGTCTTTCAGGGTCAAAAAGCAGCTTAGAGATTATCTAGTCCAGTTTTGTTCTGTTTTTTATATATGAAAACAACAGAGCTCCAAGAAAGTTTAAGTGGTTTACTCACCTAAGGTCACACAGTAAATCAGTCATAATATTCAATGAGTTAATACAGTCAAAGTGCTTAGAGCAGTGCTTGATAGAGCAGTCAATCTACACCAACCAAAAAACCCATTGCTGTCAAGTCAATTCTGACTCATAGCG